GGACTATATGACTGGTATATACATGTATATGCTCTAAAGTTGATAATTTTTATTATAACACTGATTTTAATGTGAAACTTTTCACTGATTATAATATACATTTTAAAATATATTAGCCTTAGTTTATAACCATACCCTGGAATAAAATGTTGGTATATGGATATATCAAGCTTAGTATGGAGTTCAACGAAACCAACCTGGACACCTGGTTTAGCCTCAGCGATGCTCACAATTACATGAGATACAATGGACATGTCATTTGACTGTTTGGGGTCTCAGTTCCTTCATGTGCAAAATGAGAGGTGTGGAATGAAAAAACTTCAATGCATTTTTCACCTTCCATGTTTTAAGCACTTACTTATGTAATTGATTATTTAAAAGTAAATCTTATAAATCAATTTCTTTATTGCAATTTATGTCTCATCCAAAGAGTATCACATTTTAAAACTCTAAGGATACCATTCATATTTTGCTGTGTAATAACACTTTGCTGTATAGTTAAATCTATCATTTCCTTTAAATCCATTTTCATATGAACTTGAAGGGTTTTTTTTGTTGCTGTTTTTTTTTTTTTTTTTGAGTCAATATTTTTCCAATCTTACCAGAATTTCATTTCTGTTTTTGTTGTTTTGTTGTGTTATTTTTAACGCAAAAGATGTGAGTAGATTTAAATCAGGCATCCTCTTCATTTGGTTTCCATGAAGGACTTTCTACTACTCAAAGGTCTAAAAGTACGTATTAAATTAATCTAAAGGCTTTTCCCTCCACCTACTCCATGATTACAAATTCTTATCTATACTTCTGCCATTCCATGTCTTACTCCACCCTACACATCTCCTTGCAAGAGTTATTATTTAAAAAATTACAGGAAGATGGTAACAATCCTAAACTAGATAAAGTCCCTGCCTATTACAGAGACCTGTGGTAGGCAAAAATTGATTGGAAATTGTATTCTAAGGAGTGAACTAGATAAAGTGAAAATGATTCACCCCTATATAAATGCATGCGTACTGTTTTATAGTATCAACTCTTAGCTAGCAAACTGTATTACATGCCCATGGGTATGGTAAAATATGTATAGAAATACAAAGAGATTAAGTTACACAATGAAATTCTCCTCTACCTTTTGAACCCTTATCATATTATTACTATATTAAGAACTGTGGAAACTGAATCCCAAACTTCTTTTCTGATATGCTATTCAGATTTGAAGACTGGAAGTCAAGACCCAGGCTACTCTCTGGTTTTCAGCAATCCAATACTAGCAGAATTCTGAAAAGGTAGTTTCCCCATTGCCACCCCTGAATAAAAAGGAAAGAGAATAGATGTCAGGTAATATCAACATCAGATGTCACAGGCAGTCACCAGGTTATACTTTCAGCTGCTTACCAGTATGACTCCTTTTATGTACCATAAGCACATTGGGCCCAATGCAAACCATGCCACAGACGTCACATTTCAGTTTACCATTCGGAAGCCGGATTCCTCCCTCGCCTTGAAGCTCCAGGACTTTCCTGTTGTCAGCCACGTCGCTGCTGTCAATGAGGGGTTCTTCTAGGCTGCTACCCTCATCATGACCCCTGATCTCATCTTCGCGGCTCAGGGGTTTCCTGTCACACTCTTCATCACTCTGCATTTCGAGCTTTACTGAATTTGCTGTAATTAAAAAAATAACAAAACAAAACATTACAAATGCATGTTTTGTGTTCTCACCTACAAAGATTTTCATGCAATGTCATTCTACTAATATAGTGTAATACCAAATGCATACAGTGCTATATGACATTTTAGTGAGGCTTTGGTATGAAAGTGATGATATCTCAGGAAAGCTCTAGGTAAACATGACCCCTTATTTCTGCCAAGTTATTTAACTTAGTTATTTCTTTTTTAAGCCAATCTGCATATGACTCTTCAGTTTGTGAGTAAGGCCACTGAGAAGCATTAGTTTTATGGACAACACAAGATTAGATATTGCTTAACCCACTGAAATAAGGCTCCTCATAATTTAACTATCATTATATATACTTCATATTCTGTTTCACATCAGAATACTTGTATAAACCTGCTTCTGAACATAGCAAGGAAACAACTTAGGATCTTAATCCAGCAAATGTCTCAGACACATGATGGCACACTGTCAAGGCAAATGTCCTAAAATCAGACTGAATACAGAGGTTCCGTTAGGAGCCATAGGGCAGGGCGCACAGATCTTACATGCCCTTAAGTCACTTTGCTTTTCATTTTCTATAGAAAGAAGCCACTCTATGGAAAAGATGAATCTGAAAATCAAAGTGCTCCAACCCTAATCTATGCACACCGAAAAGCAGTGAATGGCATGAATGGCATAGCATGCGTGCACACACTTGCGACTGTTAAGAAATTTAATGCCTTCTGTTTGCTGTTTTTGGATCATCCCACAGAAAAGTTGGAATTTTCTTAGTACAGCCCTCATTCTGGATTGCTGACAGAGTCTTTTCACAAAGCAGAAGCAAGATTTAAACGAATACCAGGGGTTTCTTTGTGCTGTTTTTTGTTTTTAAATCCAGTGATCTTGAAAATCTTTTACAAAATCATATCAAAGTTACTGAGCAAAACATAAATTATTTGGTACTGATTGAAAGAACAGAGGAAATATTTTCACAAAAAAGGCAGTAAGTTCTTTTCTTTGCAATTGTTTTCTTAGAGAAACCACACATTCTGTGATTTGTTTGTTAGCACTTATCACTGAAGGTAAACCTTTCAAAATGGCCCCTCTGATGTTTCCTGGACCTCTCTTTGGAGCACTGCTGATTACCAGAGGAGCATGGTACGCTGAGGAAAACACTGCATTTAATAAGGAAATTTTTATTGGCAGTATAACCTTCTGCTAACTATTTAACCTCTGAATCTTATGCCTTTCATTTGCTAGTTGGAGACAAATTAAGACTACTAAATAAAATTTGAACACAACATATAGCTATTAAGTGCAGGGACCCTGTAACCAGACTTCCTGGAATGAATACTAGCCATGGCACCTACTGTCATCATTACTGTTCTCAAAATCCCTAAATTCTCTATATATCCACAAAGGCTGATGTGAGCATTAAATGAGCAAATATGGAAAACATGATTGGAACAGGGGCTGGAACAGAGTTAACTCTCTAAAAGGAATGGCAACATATTTCTCTGGATGCATATTACTATTCTTGCTCCATAAGGTTTTTGAGAAGATTAACTAACTTGCAAGTACCACTTTGAGTTAGAGGGTATACGCCTATGTTCTTCCTGATTTATTTTTAATACAGTATCTACTACCCTGAGTTTTACCCTATTCACAAATTGGGACGACTGCCTGATTGCACAGTGATTAAGAACTCGGCTGCTACCTGAAAGCGCTGCATTTTGAATCCAGCAGTTGGGAGAAAGCTGTGGCAGCTGACTTCATACAGAGAACAGCCTTGGACACCCTACGGGGCAGTTCTACTCCGTCCTATAGGGAGGGTCGCTATGAGCTGGAATCAACCCCACAGCAGTGAGTCATGGGTGGCTTCAATTCTGTGTGTGTGTGTTTTGATATTTGCTTTAATGGTTCTGAGAATAGAGACAATGTTTTACCCATCCTAATATTCACAAGTATATTCAAGAATTTATTTTCTTTACACTTGTTTTTTCATGTTGAGATAAACAACATATACATGTTGTTGTTAAGTGCTGTGGAACTGGTTCTGACTCATAGAAACCCTGTATAGTGTTTCCAAGGGGCAGCCGGTGGGTTTGAGCTGACCTTGTGGTAAGCAGTCCAGTGCTGATCCTACAGCACCACACCAGGAGCCCTATATACACAGTAAATTTATATATATATATATATATATATATACAGGATTTATACACAGTAAAGAATAAAGTCAAACATAAGGGTAAAAAATGAAAACGAACTCCTTTGTAGTCCAAACTCACTAATTCCCAGTTCCCATCTCACAAATAATCATTGTTATCAGTTTACAGTTCAGAAGCATGTGTGCAGCCTCCCTTTTCAACAGATGGGACTGTACAATTTACCTAACTGTGCACTGTTTGCATCGTATATAATTAGCCATATTTATTGAACAGTTCCCATTATATTATATAGAAACTTGTACCATTCTTTTTAATACTTGCCTAGATTTAGACTTTATAAATGTACTATAATTTATTCATGCAGACTCTATTATAAGAAATCTAAGTTTTTCTTGTGTGTTGCTGTTGCAGACATTATTGTATAATGTCACATGTTAGAACTGTCAATCTGATAAGGAAAATTTAGCATTTCATTATAGCTCTTAATCTGCATATTTTTGGGTGTCTTTTTTTGTATTTAAATGTTTCATGTATTTTTCCCAAAAAACGGTTTATCAAAGTTCTTTGAACATTTTTCTACTAGTATGCCAGTCTCTTCTTATTGATTTTAAATGCTCTGTTTTACACACTAAGGAAACATAAAAATAATTTCATTCTAATTTTATATCAGCCTGTGTGTAAATTGCCATACACGTTTATTTGAAGTGAGTTCCTAAAATCTAGACGCTTTGCAGAAATGCCATGGTTTATTTTCCTTAACTCACCAGCCACTTAGAAGCTACATAAATAAGTTTAAAATATACCAGGACTCTTATTTCAGGAGCAGAAAAGATGTATAACTAAAAGGTCAGGTTTTTAGTCTAAAACTGAGCACTATTAAAATTTAAAATATGGTAGCATTATGAAGAGTATGACTTGATGTTTCAATAATACATTTTTATAGTTTCCCTAATAAGAACATTATAATATTGACATCAAAACATAATATCAAACATGAATAAAAATTTGATTTTAAAAATTACATAATGCAACTATGGAACCTGGTTTGGTACTGTAGGATAACGCACCGGACTGCAAAGTCAGTTTGAACTGCAAGGTCAGTGGTTCAAACCCACCAGTTACTCCTCAGAATCTCTATGTTAGTTGGTTGGTTATATGCCATGGAGTTGGTTCTGATTCATAGCGACCCTATATAAGAGTTTCCAAAGCTGTAAATCCTTATGGGAGCAGAAAGCCTCATCTTTCTCCTGCAGAACAGCTAGTAGTTTTTAACTGCTGACCTTGAAGGTAGCAGCCCAACTGGTACCCACTATGCTACCAGAACCAGACTCCTTTCAGAAACCCTATACAGACAGGGTCATTATGAGTCAAACTGGGTAGCCCCTAAGAACAACAACAATAAAACTACTGTTAGAACGCTATCTACAAGCAAATACACTTGAAATGCATGAAAAAAAGTATACATTTCACATACAGAAATATAGATGAAATAGTAAAGATACACTAATCTTTTGTCTAGCAACATTCTACTCTTAGGAATTCTATGCCTATCACCTTGTTGTTGTTGTTGTTATGATGGGCCTTTTAGGTAATTTCCGACTCTTCATAGGGTTTCCAAAGAGTAGCTGGTAGGTTTGAACTGCTGATATTAGCAGTCCAGTGCTTATCCTAGAAAGCCATTCCAGGGATGTGTAAGTACTTTTGATGAATTGATATAGTAAATCAATAAAAAGCTACACATTTCTGTATATATAAACTTAATCCTAAATATATATACGTATATATATATATATATATATACATACACATATACATATACATATATACACATATACATATACATATTTAGGATTAAGTTTATATATATTTAGGGCTAAGTTTTGCAAATGTGTGGTTATGTGCAAACATAATATCCTAAGTTTTAACTCATCTCACTAAAATTAGACTTAAATTCTAAACATAAAAAGCAATTAAACAATGCATTCTTTGAATTTTAATAGCTCAATATAAAGTGTTTTCTCCTCAAAGAAAAGTAAAGGGGTATTCCCACAGTTTATTTACCCTATTTAAGATAGTTCTAATTAATATTTTAACTCGTTAATGATTAAATTACATTATTTGATCAAATTAAATTTTAAACTAAATTATAATTTTATTTATTAACAAGAATTTTACTGTGATTACTTATATCATTGATGCACAATAATATTCACTGTAGTTTAGTTTCTAAATTTTTGAAATTAGATTTATGTCTTCATTATACAAGAGATACTGTCTTAAATAAGCTGATTTCTATGAAGATGAGTACTTGTTAGCTTAATCTAATGAATTCTTCCTATTAGAAATCTCAATACTAAAACACATTTATCAAGCTTGTTTCTTTACTATGAAAAGTAGGATATAAAATTTAGGTAAATCTGTAGAAATTTACAAATATTGTTGTATATTGCTAGGCAACAGTAATTTATAAAAACAATATTTTGTCAGTACACATGTTTAGCAATGAAACCCAAAACCAAATCCACTGCCATACAGTTGTGCCGATTCCTAGGGATTCTATAGGAGAGCAGAACTGTTCCCTGGGGATTTCCAAACTGTACCTTTTTATGAGCACTGACACCCTCATCTTTCTCCCCCAGACTGACTGGTGGGTTCAAACTGCTGACCTTGCAGTTGGCAGCCCAACATGTTACCTACTGTGCTACCAGGGATTCTTAGCAATGGGCGGGAGTGTAAAACAAGAATTTGATTACTTAATCAATTTGTTCTTCATTATTCAAAAAATGCAAGTATCTCTTTGGTGAAATGGTTAAATTCTAAATTCTTAACCAAAAAATTCT